GGGGGTGGGGCTTGGCTGTGAGCACAGCTGGCCCTGCTCGCGGGACTCTGGTTTCTGGCCAGCGTCTCCCCTTCCCGAGCCTAGCAGGTTGAGGGGCGGGAAGCTTGGTGCTGTGTCTGCAGCTGCACCCACCTGAGAGCTCAGCAGAGAGCCGCCCCAAGGCCGCTGTGCCCTGATGGTGTAGCAGCCAGCACTGTGAGAAGCACCAGGTGCCCGCATTTCCTCTGGAGCACGCTGAGGGGCAGTGGCCTCACCAGCTGCCTGCCCACCTGCTCCCATCGCGTGTGGCTTAGCTTTAGAGCCGAACAGATGTGCGTCCATGACGGGTGGGGGGAAGCGGCAATCGTGCAGAGGGAACCAGACTCTGGAATATGGGGGGCACGAGGTCGTCATACCTGTGACCTGCTGCTCCCAGAAGCTCCCGTGCCCACCTGCCAGAGAAGCACATTCCCCAGCAGCCTGTGTTCTGCCAGGGCCCAAAGGGTGCCCGCCCATCTGGGACACGGAGGACCTACCTCTCCTGAGGCCACCAGAGCAGCAGGTGGGGCCAGGGGACAGCTGGCTCCACCTTCCACCTTCTTTGTGTCTCTTCTGACCCAAGCTGAGGCAGGACTGCCATTTGGGCTGGGTTTGAATCTTACTTTTGTCACCTCATAAATGTGTGACATTGGACACTTAAGGGAATGCCTCAGACCCTGTTTCCTAGTCTATGGAACAAGGAACAGACGCCTAATTTTACAGCATGTTAGAAGGTTCCAATCTGAACACGAGATTTGAGAGCCACGCGCAGGGCTGGGCATGGTGTCCACTTGGTGAGCAGAGTCCTGTTTTTTGTTCATCTCAGTTCTGCCTGGTGCTGCACTTCTGGAAGCTGCCTTTTAAATGGGTGTGAATGGAAAATGCTGTGTGACTCCAGACTCCTACTCCTGGTCTTTATTCCAGTCTGGACCTGCTGCGACCTGGCTGCTGCTGTCCCTAATCACCCTGCCCCGGGGCAGGACCTTTAGGCTGCCCTTGGGATACTCCCCCAGAAACCCTTCCCTCTGCGGCACGTCTTTGCTGGCAGGTAAACCTGGACTTTCTAGAGAGGAGCAGCCTGCCCCCACCCCCATGTGCAGCTTGGAGGGGACAGGGAGGGGACCGGAAGGCTGCAGGTTCTTGTGAGTTATGGGAGGCAGCCAGGGCAGAGGGCTGGCCTGTTCACCGAACAGGAAACGTCTGAGCCAAGAGATAAAGAACCGGGCAGCAGGAGCACTGCACCGTTTGCTTCACTGTTGGGGCCTGACAGGGACAGGAAGGAGTAGCAAAGAGGCGAAGGAACCTCAGTCCTGTGCCCTGCTCACCAACCTCTGAGAGCAGAGGGACAGTGGAGCCTTTGCTAGCTGATGACAACGGAAAAATTCTAGCAGAGGGATATTTGATCAGAAAGAAAAGCCAAGGGAAATGGCACTCGCATTAGGTATGGATTTCCTGTCTCAACGCAGGTTTTTATAGGGGAAGGAAAAGTGGTGACTTCTGCATATTGCTGGGCTGGCAGGGTCCTGGGCCCCAGGGCAGGTATGAGGGCTGAGGGCTGAGGGCCCACCCAACCCAGGCGGGTGCCACCTTCAGACCTGTTTAATTCCCATCTGTTTCCAAACAGCCAGGGCTGATGCTGGGGTGAGGAAACCAAGCCGGCCACAGAGGCCCCATGGCCATCTGTGTATGTGAAGCTTCAGGGAGGCCCTGGGAGGGAGCCAGGCTAGGAATGGTCCGGAACTGCTCTGTCAGAGGTCAAAGAGCAAAGCCTCAGAATCTTCTAGAACCAGAGTGACTTTCTCACATCGCAGGCTCGGGTTTCCTCCTTGACTCCTCGCCAAAGGCCGAGGTCAGGGAAGTGTCTGGAATGCACCGTGTCATGGGCAGCTCTGCCAGTGACCTGCATCCCTCACCCTCTTCATCTTCCTTTGCTTCCAGAATGTTGCTGTCATGGACACAAGAGAGACCTTTTGACAACACGGCTGCCATCTTGTGGAGGCACCCCTCCCAACCACATTAAACAACCCCCCCACCCCCAAATCCACATGCCAAAGAGGAGCTCACAATTAAAACGTACCTTTAAAAGAAATGAATCATTAACTTCTCAAGCATATCTCACAGATGCTAAAAACCAAATCATCACTCCAAGTCCAAGAGTATCAGCCAGATTTTAGGACACTGGGAAGGACTTGGGTTGCCTTCCCCCTGTTCCTGGACGCCCAAGTTTGTGCAAGGTGACAGAGCCCAGAAAGGAAGGCTGAGGGCATTTCATCGCAGAGGAGGTGAACACTTTGTGCTCCCCAATTTGCTTTATAAACAATGTGTGTGTCTTAACACTAGTTGATCTAGCTTTTGATCAGCCAAGGAGACCACGTACATCAGACCCCCTTCTCCAATAAAAGTCAATGTCTTAAAACTGATTCTGGCCAAGGAAATTTGTTAGCAAAATACTTAGGACTGAGCTTCATTAAATCGAAGACTGAAGAAGCCAAGTACCCTGTGTTCTCCTTACCACCTGCTGTTTTAAGTTTCTCCACCGTAAGAGCTACTCAAATGGTACTTACCTGTAGTCCCAGCCACAGGGGAGGCTGAGACAGGAGGATGGCTTGAGCCTGGAGTTGTCAGCCTGGGCAACAGCCTGGGCAACCTTATTTCAAGAAAAAAATCCCTCTGGTAGGACTGTGGGATTCTTTTGAACTCTGATACCAACAGCCCCACATGCTTGCTTCTCCTTGGGTGATATGAGAAACTCCATATCTGTGACTTGTGTGTGTGAAATCTGGATTGGGGACAGAGGCCCAGGAATTAGCCATGGAGGGACAAGGTGCCTCGTATGACCTGAATGTCTACATATACACATACATGTATATATAAAACAGTAAAATATTTTAATTCTTTTTACATGGCCACAAGCTTTCTTCAGCCAGGTGACACCTCTGTCTTGTGGTGGCAGGGTAACCCACCTCAGTACAGGTCATCCCAGAGAGCATCAGGACAAGCCGACCAAACCCTGCACTAGGAGACCTCGGTACACGGTCCCAAGAGCCACTGCCTCTGTAGTCAGCTTGACTGCAGCTCAAAGTGCAGTGTCCCAGCTGCAAAAGCCCCAGATACCACCCGTCCACTCACCCTCACACTGGATTTTTATAAAACACTTCCACAGCTCTAGCACAGGCAACGTGCTTAGGACGCACTCTAACATAGAGCACAGGACACGCTGTGGGGTGCGACCCCGCGTCCCCACAGCGGGAGAGTGTGCAGGCCAAGCAGATGCACGCAGTGTGTGTGACAGCGGGAAGGTATGGAGTGTGTGACGCTCTGCACACCTTCCGTGCGACCCGTCCAACACTGAGGCTCGTCTCTTCTGGTTGGTGGCACGAGCAGTGACACAAACAATGTCATCGCCTAAGGGCGGAGACTGTCGTCGTGGGACACGATGACACGGCCTGGAAAGGTCTGCCGGTGTCAGCTCTGAAGGGCGCCGGCCGGAGCCCAGATGCTCACACAGGCACCTGCCTGGGAAAGTGCACTTCCAATGGTTGATACAGAAATAGACTGGCACACGCTTTTGACACAGGCAAGGTACTTCTCAAAGCCTTCCCCGGTCCTGCAGTTTGCTCATCCGCTCTAGCACTGCACTCCGAGGCAGGAAGTCTGCAGGGACAGTGGTGGGCCAGGAGGGCCAGGTCTGTGTGCGCCCGGGAGGAGCAGCAGCCGGGCAGCTCGGAGTCCTTGCTGGTGGGGAGCAGGGTGGGCACACACCTCTCTGCCGACGCTGAGCAGCAGCCAGCTCGTCGCTCCTCTCCGCGAGCAGAAGACTCCCTGCCCTTTCCTGTGCCGCCTCCCAGGAGAGCACAGCGAGAGGAAAGGCCGAGTGGTTCCTGGAGCTCCAGCTCTCCGTTTCCGGGAGCCAGTGCTGCTCCCTGGAGCCCCAAGACCCGGGCCTTCCCGCCCCCCCGCCGGGGCCTGTGCTAGGAGCGCTGGATCAGGCGTCTGTAGTGCGGCATGACCTCGTGCTCCGGCAGATGCAGTGCAAATTCCAAGGCCACTAACACTGGGAACTCGAAGGCAATCAGTTCTCGTCGGTTCAGCCGGAACTTCTCTTCCAGCTTCTGCAACAGAATTCAAGAAGACAAAAGCAGGGTTCGCATGTGCAGCTTCTGCAGCCATCAGCCAGGGCGTGTTTATGGAGAAGTGCACTGACTCGTCCTTCTGTTGCTCTAACACAATGTCTGTGATGGGTGAGTCGGGGAGAACAGAGGTTCCAGAGGCCCGCGGTCCAAGGTGGCAGCCACCTCAGTGAGGGCCCTGTGCTGCCACAACGGATGGCAGGAACAGGAAGGGCAAGCAAGGGGCACAGAACACAGGCAGCCTCGCTCTGTAGCACCCAACTCCCTAGTAATGCATCTGGCTTGGAGACAAGGACAGCTCCACTCCTCGGAGACAGGATGGCTCCTTCCTACCCACCCAAACCCCTCTTAAAGGTGCACCACGGTGGGAACTTGCTGCAGCGTGCATTTCGGAGGCCAAGCCACACTCCCAGCACACACCCACTCTGCACCGGAGAGGCACTGGCTGTGCTGCCTGCCCGCATTCAGTCCTCCTGCAACTCTCCCAAGGCTGGCATGCATTTATCTCCATTGTGCAGCTGAGAACCCAGGCTCCAGGGTCAAACGCGTGGTCAGCTGCAGCCCTGATGTGCAACTTACCTGGGACTGCCCTGAGAAGTAACATTCTTAGAGCTAAACTGCAGCAAATCGCCCACAACCACCACCACACGTAAGCGCTGAACGGGGCCAGATGATGATCTGCAGCTCAATCTTTTCTGCTATTGCTTAACGTCAGCGTTTGGCTTAAACAGCGTAGTGCAGTTGCTAACTGCCCTCAGATAGTAACTGGGATGGGTCTGGGTTGGTTCATCGCAACTGTGGGTGGCTTTTAACCTTCTGTGTTAACAGTACCAGCTTTTGCTGTGTGGTGGTAATGAACTGCAATTAAATGTCTAATATCACTTAATTTTTACTACTATTTGTTATTTCTAAAGATGCACAGCAGATATGTTCCAAGACCCCAGCAGATGCCCCAAACCATAGATTGTACCAAATCCTAGAGGTTTGCTATGGTTTTTCCTAGACATGCCACCTAGGATAAAGTAAGAGATTAACCACACTAAGTAATAACAAAATAGAACTGTAACACAGCTGTAGTGAAAGGTGTGGACAGATGGCCTTCTCACCATGTTTTACTGTCTGTACCACCCTTCTTGCGACAAGGGAGATTACACAGTCCCCACGTGGTGGGGTAAAGAGAGTGAATGACCAAGGGGACATAGCATTAGGCTGTTGGGGGTCACCTGAACACACGCACTGTGATCCCAGGATAGCCAGTCTGAGAAGCAAGGTGACTAAGTGACCAACAGTCAGGAGTGTATGCTTGTGGGCAAGCTGGACAATTCGTGTCCCAGGAGGGACAAGGCGGAGCACCATGAGGTTGCATCCCACTACTCAGAATGGCGCGAAATTGAAAACTTAGGGATTGCTTGTTTCTGGAATTTTCCATGTAATATTTCTGGGCGATGGTTGACTACAGATCTGAAACCAGGGGAAAGCGAAAGTTGTGACAAGTGGGGGTGACTGTGTAAGCCGAATGAGCTGCAGCGCGGGCTGGTGGCTAACGATCACCTCCACCCACATTCACATGTACTGACTGCATAGGCTGGACAATGTGTAGCATTTCCTAAAACCAGTAAAGCACCAACCTAAAGAATACTCATTTTTGTATGGCTGGTACCCAGGTTCCCTTCCTTTCTACCTTCTCTTCTTTGCCATTAAAGACAGCCTGACAGTGAGACAGGTGTGGCACTGCGCTAACCGTGTCTTGTTTTCTCTACCCTGATGCCGTGACATCTCAGGGCCTTGCTGTTCACCCTAAGGGATCGGGGTTTTCAGCCTGGGTGGGGCTTTCCTTTAAAAGACAGGAGATGACACCCATGGAACCCAGACCCTTCTCCAAAGAGAAGGAAGCCACGGCCTGCCGAGCCGGCATGTCAGCTGGATGCTCCGGTCACACTGCTCAGAAGACCCCATAATTACACAGCAGCTTCTGTGGCCCCGAGGAGGACTACACCACGCGTGGTGTCTGGGATGGGGTTTTATGGCCAGGCCCGATGCTGGGGCTCTTTGGTCTTGTCCTAGTGACTCACCCCTCTGCTCTCAGACAGCTAAGAAGGGGCATCTGACATCCTATGCAGGCAGGACAATTTCACAGTCTTTATCTCCATTTCTCGCTGTCCTCAGTTCCAGAGTCCTTCCACAAAGACCCAGGATTGACTGTGTGTATCCCCCTCAGCCACCGGGGAACAGGCCACTTACATCAATTAAATGCTTGACTTCGTGCTTCTTGAGGTCACTTCCGATCTTAGCCGCTAACAGCACGCACGCGCCAGCACACAGCTTCCGGTTCTGCTTGTTCAGCTTCCCCTTGAGAGCGAGCTTCTCAAAGTAGACAAAGGCCATGGCGACTGTGGGCTCCTCAAAGCCACAGTCCTCCTGGGCAAGCTTCCGCATCTCTCGTTTCAGGCTAGAGAAAGACAGGCACAGCAGGGTGTCTTGTCGGAGGCTGAGTTTTGGGGCACTCCAAAGAACACAATGACTCCTTCATTCCCAGGGGTGACATGGATTGGGAGTAAATCCCTACGAGTGTCAAGGTTCTAGAACCTCCTCTGTTGGTCTGGCTGCACAGGCCGTGCTTACCCTCATTCTTGTCTGGGACCCAGTGCTGCTGCTAAAACCTCACTTGTGGGATGACAGGCAGCAGACCAGGCAGGGGGAGCCACCAGTGACTGTCACACAGGACACACAAGGAGCGCCCTGAGTGCATGGGGTGTCTGAGTCTCCCCCTGGGCCCTGGGTTGGGCTATCCGAAGTCCAAGAGGGACACCACAAGGGGCGCTTTGATGGTTCCAGAGCCTGGTCTGAGCTATGCCAGACACCAGCTGTGTTCACTCACTGGCTCAGAAAAGGATCTGCCTAAGAGCATGACCACTGGTGTCAGGAGATGCTGCCCAGCAAACAGATGAGTGTCAACACTCAACTTTTCCTAAAAACAGTAGTTTTATTCTGTGGCTTGGAACATACCAGAATCAAATCTATATTAGGGTAAACCTTGGCAAAAACATTGGCACATACTCTACACCATGTGGGTGTACAGCCTAACTCCTGTCACTACACACGCACACATGAAATTCTACCATCGTGGTGTCATGGCCTGGGGGTGTCGGTCATCGTGACTATGTGGCTGGCTGATGTGGGTCACACAAAGCCGGTCCCATCAGCTGTGTAGGAAATAAGGGTTTGTCTCTGTTTTGGTAACTACTTAAAGATGGGGCCTGGCCGTCCCCCCGGGCACGTGACTGGGTGAAGTTATATCCTCAGATGCCAGCTCTCTTTTGCTCTGCCAAAATGAGAGAAAGCAGAGACAGGTGCTGCCCATTGTCTCTGGATTTCCATAAGAGAAATCTCACTGAACTTGGGAGCTGCATACAGATAACATGACATGATCTCTCATACAAAGCAGAAGCCTCTGGCAGGCTTGAAAGGGGTTACAGGGTAGAGTTCAAGGCGCCAAGAGCTGCGCATACCTCCTTATTTTGCTGAGCGTTAACTTAATGTGAGGAAACTTCTCCTTGAAGGTCTCGTTCATGTCCTTCTTGAGATCCGAGGGCTTCACATAGTCAATTACTGTGGTCTGTAACAGACAGGGGGAGACGGGTCACTCTTTCAGGGTCTGTGTCCTAACAATGCCCAAACTGTGCCTGACCCACAATTTCCCAAACACGGCACAACGTGGAGATCAGATCAGAGCCACACAGCAAGGGCTCTGCTGAATCCAGAGCCTGCAGGGACAGTGGCTTTCTGGAGGTACAGGGAAAAGAAATCACCAGTGTTAGCAGGATGCAGTGACATTTAGAAAAACTGGCCTACAGACGTCAAGGGCGGGGGGTTGGCCCTCGTAGCCGCTGTGCTTCCAGCTGTTGTTCCACACACAGTGCAGTGCTCAGGCTGGGACTGTGGCTCGTGTGGATTTGGGCTCAGCCCACACTGGACCCCTCGCTAGCCGCCTGGTGCCGCAGCTGCTTTGAGAACTACGGGCTGTGCTCCCTTCCGTGCTTGGCATCAGCAAGCGTTCAGTAGCACGGGCCCTGTCACCACCGTGCTCTGACCGGGTGGCAGCAGGGCTCTGCGGGGGCGGGGGAGGCACATCGGCCGCCCCAGGGATCTTCTAGGCCACCGAGTACCTAGTCTGTATTAAGCCTCCTTCTTCAACCAGCTGGGGTACAGAGTGCACGCTGGGCTCCACACCCTAAGTGTATCCAATCGCGTACTCGTGCTGTGTATTTGTTCATGGCCTTTGCTTCTCCTGTAACTGGCCCTCACTTCAGGCCCTGCATTTCACTGATCCCCTGAAGGCAGCCATGTCCGGAGTCCCTGGGGGCCTGGTCTTGCGCCCCGGCACTGACACACACATCCTGACCTGTCCAGGGCGTGCTTTTCCTGATGGTGAGATGGGTGGAGATGTGTATTTATCTCCAGGCTGAACCCTGGGTAAAGGAGGCCCAGTCTGCCGATGCCCTGAGAACCTTGGCCCAGCACCCGGCCCCAGCAAGTGTGGCCTTCGTAGCAGCAGCCAGGATGACAAATCCCCAGGTCCACAAGTGTGCCACCTGCAGGGACCAGCAACATTCTGCACCACCACTGCCCTGCTGCGCTTTTCTGTTGCAGTGATGGCTCTGAGCTGGAGGCCTGGGCAAACCTGACATGTAACTCACTCACCCGTTTGGCCTTCACCTCACTACTGAGTTTTCTAAGTTAGATGTACAACTTAGGAGGGGTTGGGCTTCTATCAAAGCCCAGGAATAGCCATTTCTTGGACCAGATCCACCCCACCTTATTCCGTCTTCAGAGAGGCAGCAGCGACCATGTCTCACTGGACCAGCAGCCTCTCTGGTGGCCCATTTCCTGACCTCCAAGTGGCCAGAAGTCCTCAAGGGCATATGGCAGAGAGAAGTCCAGAGCAAGGGGCCAGCAGCCTGGGAGGTGGCTGCCTTAGGAAGTCCAAGTTCAAGGGTATTATGGTTTGGAGAATATTGCAAGGGGAACAGTATAATAAAGGACACATATTCTGTAAGATTTTTGTAATAGTCACCCAAAGACTCATATACAAGAGAGTGCAGGAAATCTGTCCACACACTAAGACCAAAGAATCTAGCCGAGGGCTTGGATCCCATGCAAATGTCCTGCATGGGTCCAGCTGAATACCTAGAGCTCATAACAATGCCTCCCGCAAGTCCAACTGGAGGCCCAGAGCCCGCAATGATGTCTCATGCAGGCCTGTTTCACGGATCTGCGCTGGGAAGGCCCAAAGGTCAGTGGTAGAATATAGAAAGTCTGCCAGCAGGATGAAGGATCTGTACTATGTGCTAGCAGGTGGAGGGATCTGCACTGGAGTCAGGAACAGACGCACAAAGTAAGGATCAGAGCTCTCCTGAAAGGTACCACAACCATCCTCAGCAACAGCAAGGTCCCGAGCTCCTCCAATGATCAAGACAGCTGAGTTCCCATCAGGAAAGCCAATGTGACAAGCTTCTCTAGGAGACCGGCAGTGCACCATCTTCCCCTCCAGAGCCAGGAAGTGATGCTCAGAGTGAGGACCAGAGCTCTCCCAAAGTGCACTGAGGCTATTCTCAGTGCCAATGAGGTCCCGAGCTCCTCAGAGGATGAAAACAGCCAAGTTCATTAGGAAAGCTGGCATGACGAGCTCCTCAAAAAGAACCAACAGCTCCTTACAACTTCCACCAGCGCCCAACAACCTAACTTCTTCTTTGCCAGTTCTGCCTTTTATGCTACTGACAACAGTCCTCAGGTGGGCCTCCCACACTCAGCACCACACTTACTCAGTTCAGCTGGGGGTTACAAACTGACCACCAGTTGTCAAACCACTACAAAGGGCATCCAGGAAAGTGAGCTGTGACCTTGGACTGCTGTAAGCTTGTTATAGCTACACCACTGAGGCAAAACCCTAACAGTCCTCCTAGTCTGTCTGCTTAAATCTATGTTGGAGTGAGGCAGGTTGGGCTGGGGGAATGAAATGCCTCCTACACACACACAGAAGAGGGTGGTAGTAGATCACCCATGTCAGTCCGAGCACACGGTCCCAGTGGTCACTGTGTCAGCTTCCTGGGGCTGCTGTAAGAAGCTGCCCCAACCTGGGTGTGTCATCTCCCAGTGCCAGGGCTGGAAGCCTGGGACCCAGGTGTCGGGGGCTGTGCTCCTCTGAAATGCAATCTGCTGTTGCTTTGTCTCTGAGTAGAAGCCCTCCTTGCTTTTCTGAGTTCCTGCGATTGTCCCAAGCTTGTGGGTGCATGGCTCCAACCTCTGCCTTCACACGGGAACACCCTTCCACAGCACAATCACATTGGATTACGAGGGCTATGTCAGTCTGGCCATATCCTAACTACTTTAATCCGTAACAACCCTATTTCTGAACAAGGATGCAGTCTAAAGTCCTGCGGTGAGGACATCTCTTCTGGGGACATGGCTCGGCCAACAGCAGGGCCTCCTCCTAACGGTGCTGCTGCACACCCTCGCTGGCCTCTGACCTCAGCTCCCGGCCCCCACACTGCCGCAGCTCTGCTTTATTCTGAGGGAGGCCTGTCTGGGTGTCTTCCTCGCCTGCCTCTTCTGCCTGCTGCGACAGCGCTCTCTTCAGTCTTGTCCTCGACTCGGCTTCTCTGAGCTGTGGTCCACAGGACAGACTCGGGCACTGAGCCTGGGGTGAAACACAGCTCCGCTGAGCGGCTCCTCTGACTTCTGCATCACCCGCTTCATGTTGATGGCCCTGGGACACTTGATCTGCAGGGCCGCTCCATGGCCTGCTCACCCTCCACTGCACATGACAATTGGGAGCTGGGGGGAGACACACCAGGTGACAACCTGGCCCTAGACCTCTGGTCAGCCAAGGCCTCACACATACGCCCGAGGGTGCACATGACCCAGATCTTGGTACCAGGTGGGTCACCCCCAAGCCACAGGTGCCAGCCATGATGTCCTCACTGCCTTCTCAGTCGCAGGGCCTTTGAGAAACGCTGGAGAATGGGGGGCCACCGTTCCCCGGTATGTTTCTGTCTGCCTCAGGGGTGCTGTTTGATGACCTTCAGAGGCTGCACCTCTGAGAACTTTACTGACACTGCTGAGCTGGGGACTCGGCCCCAGGAGGCTGACCGCAAGCGTGGCACTAGCAGCCCCCTCCAGCCACTCCTCTGGGCTTGGCAGAGAATAAATTAACCTTGGGGCCAATGCTCTGTTCAAGTTCACCGACCGATCTAACTGTCCAAGTTACCCAAACTCGCACTGCCTGGGCTTTTCCCCAGTGGGTGACTACAAATCAAAGGGCTAATGACACAGGAGGCGGCCCCTTCCTGATCTGGGACAGGCTGTGTTCACTGCCACCTCACTCCGGGTCCTGGCATGGGCCAGACGAAGGGGTGCTCCCGGCGGAGCTGCAGCCAACAGCGGGCCGGGCTGCGTGAGTGATGAGTGGCAGCTCCACCCCGCGGCACTTGCATTTTGCAGAGCCAGCCACTGGGCTCTCAGAGGGAAGAGGTCACTTGAATGCACTTTCTGGCAGCTGCCTGGCACAGCTGCATAAAGAGGAAGAGGAGAAGGCTGGCTGGGAGTAGGGGGCCATCCCAAGCCCAGAATGTCCACAGCCCGGTTTCCTAAGCAACCATGGCCAGCCTGCCCCGTAGGAGGAGATGGGAAGCAGAGCTGGGAAGTGCCTGGGTCAGGGTGGGCACCCGAACCTCTCCAGCAGGAAAAGACCACAGCTCAGTCGCCTTACCAGAGGAGACCACCGCGTCTACGGAGGAGACACTGGACACTCTGTGCTCTTCGCAAAAACACATGGCTCATGGCAAGCAGAGAGGGGCCTCTGAGGAACTGGACATGGGTCCGGCCAGGCCCAAGGTGGGGGTGAAGGCTGTCGGGCGAGGGCTGTGGGTGCCACAGCCGAGGTGGAGAGCTTCGTGCCCCAGTGCTGGTCCTGGGGAGCAGCGAGAGACTCAGGGCTGGCAGCTGCAGGTCTGTCACAGAGAGGACACCTCTGCTCCCAGGCCTGGGAGAGCTTGGCCCCCTCTGTTTCCTCTCCACAGGAATCTGAACAGGTGGGCTCACTGCACACTGGCACTGCCCTTGGAGTCAAAACCCCCTACCCTAGGAAGGAACGTTCCTGTTCCAGGGTTCCTACACCCCAGAGGCTAGCTGGAGACCGGGGGCAGGTATGCAGCCTCTCCTTGCTCAGGTTCCCTCCCACACTTGTGAAAGGCAGGGAGATGAAGCTATGATCTGGGAAGCTCCTTCCAGCACCTGTGGCCCCGCGGAACCGGGACTCTTCTGCTTCCGCTGCACTTGTGTGACAGCCGTCAGCACTTCTAGCTCAGCTGGGCCCTGGGAAAGCAGATGTGCTGCGCTTGTTCAAGTAACTACACAGGGCGGCCCTGGACTGACCATCTGACCATCCACACATGGGCGTTTCAGCTATCCCGTGCCTTTTATCCTCTTCCGGGGGAGGGGCGAGCCATGGGAACGAGCAGGGGCCACAAAGCCTGGCGCCGCATGTGCTGCAGTTTCTACCCCTCGGATACCCGGGATTGAATCTCCCACCTTTGCTCTAGGGGAGGAGCCCTGACT